TGCCTCTTCCAGTCCCCCTGCCTGCAACCTCAAAGGTTATCTTGATGAGACTGCTATAGGTCACTATGTGGTCTTTTATCTTCCATTCATACCTTTATCAGGGAACTGCTAACCAGGCCATAAAAGTCTAACTGTACCATACAATTTCTCTGTATGAGAAACTTAAGCTTGAGAACCTCCTATGTACCAGGTATTGTTAGTTACTGAGATGAATAAAGAGATATCCCTGCCCTTGGCTAGTTTACAACTAGTGGCATAGATCACTCTAAAAACAGATAATAAAATAGGGTTATGATAGAGGTATGCACAGGTATGTACAGAGGAGGGACATCTAACCTGGCCTAGGTGAGCAGGGTGAGGAGGAAGGAGGTCAGAGAATGGAGTGTAGTAATCTCTCATGTTACTTCCAGCTCCATATTTTGTCACTTTCAGTCACCCACTTAAGCAAGACCTTCCCAATGTTTGGATTCGCTCATAGGTAACCAAACTCACCTTCTCTCAAATAGATGTCCTCCAAAAGTTGGGAAATTTGGGGTTCAGAATTGGTGAGTAGAGAATCAGAGAAATGGAAACTGGATGACCTAAGGAATATTATACTTAAGTTGTGATAATCCTTTGCCCACCCTTTTGTATTAACAGGACACCCTTTACCAAGGATATTGCTAGATCAGCACTGTCCCATAGACCTTTATGCGATAATATAACTGTTCTATAGGTTTGCTCTTCAATACAGTAGCCATTTCCCACATGTGGCTACTGAGCATTTGAAATGTGGCTGGTACACCTGAGGAACTGAATTTTTAATTTTACTTAATTTGAATTAATTTTAAATTGCTACATGTGGCAAGTGACTGCTGTATTGTATAGCATGGCACTAGATAAATATAACTCCTGTGTTCTAGACTTCAACCCCACAATCTGTTTTCTGTCTTTGACAATATTTGCAGGTATAATAGATCACTGCTCACTTACATTAGTATAAGTTTAGTTTCCTTTATATTTGAGATGCTCCTTAATCCCATGAAGAGATTCAAAAAGCACTGTAGGCAAATTCTGTGTGGAAATGAGGTGGCTGAAGTTGCTTAAATTGGGTTCAGAAACTAGCCCTCCCTTTGCTCCTTCTGGAATTTGACCAGGACACATACGAAAATCTCATTCCTACCCACCTGATTTGCCTCATGCAGACTTTTTTGTCCTATCTGTTCTCTGGTCTTCCATCGTCATGTTGCAGCTTTAGATTTTATACCTTGCAAAGATGTGCTTCCTCAGGATGCAGAGGCAAAAGACTTAGAAATTCAAATCAATAGGGTAATGATACAGCCTTTGAGTTGAGTGGGATTGAAAAGTAACCTAATATATAACTGTTGGTAATTGTTTACCATGAAGATATTCACTGCTGGACCATCCTTTTGACCTATAAATGTACTCAAATCTCTCCCATCTAAATAAGCTACTATGTGGGAATTCCCTGATGGTCCAGTGGTTAAGACTCTGTGCTCTCACTGCTGAGGGCCCAGGTTCAATCCCTGGTCAGGGAAAAATCCCACAAACTGAGTGGTGCAGCCAAAAAAATTTGAAAAAAGGATAAATAAGCTACTATGCTATTTCTTTGCACTCCTTTAAAGCCACGTCCCTTAGAAAGTCTATACCAGCTCCCTGCATTCTAGTTTCAGTGCCCATCAATCCACCAAATCCCTTTTTACGGAGTCATCAGCAAAGAGCTCCGTGTGGCTAAATCCAATGGACAGTTAAGGGTGGAACGAAAAGGAGAAGGTGCCAACAGCAGGCAGAAGAGCTGACAGGCATTTGGCAGCAAGAGGGATCAACAATTCAAGTGTAAGAACGCATGACACAGAAAACAAGAGGCCAAGGAAGAGTAACAGTCCTTAGAAGTTGGAGATCAGTCAAGGGAACCAATGGAACCCATTTAAGGAACTGGAGTAGGGTACCAAAGGAATAAGATAAACAAACAGTTATAAGACTCAGGATAAAACACAAGAATAGGAATAGAAGCACTGACAAATCCAGGACGTAGAACTATTGAATTGGGTTCCACTAGGGATGGGACAAGTCTGAGTTGAACCAATAGTGGAGGGTTAAGAAAGTCCAAAATAGAAACAGAGCTTATCAGGTCACAGGGGCAGGAGACAAAGCAGATAATTACTATAACCCTCATACTGAGTCAGTTACATGAGATAAGAATTTGAACTCATTAAAGCATACCTGATATTATCTTTAAACATGGAAGTCATAGCGGCTTGAAAATTGAGCCTCAGGATATAAGGTGTACAAGGTTGGTGTGTTGTTTTAAATAGAACTGATTATAAAGTCTTTCATTGGAGTAGCACTACAAATTACAGTAAGGTTGAACAGGAGTACATTTTATCCTTCAAGGGGGATGGTAAGCAGATCAGCAAGGCCATTTAGCATAGGCAAATAAAAGGCAAACCATTGCTGTGTTTTCTGGGAGGCCAAACACATGGCACAGATTAGTTTCAAGGGGCACAATGGTATGGATGGAGAAGGCTGGGCTAGAATAGCAGCACTGTACCCTACAGTGTCAACAGTGGTGAGGCACCACTGATAGCCCTTGAGGGGGTCAAAGAGCCAATGAAGTCCATCTGCCAGGAGCACATGAGGACAATGGCCCTTGCTATGTGGCCTCCCTCATCGTAAGACAAGTCAACTTTTGGCAGTAATTGCAAGTCCAAATCAGAAACTGAGTTCTTTACTTTGTGCCCAGTCTATGATGGTGAATGTCTTGCCACGTCTAGTATGATGATCAACTCAGGCAGCAGTGGGGACTGTCTTCACAAAACATGTTTCCATCAGCAGCTTGATTCCAGTCAATTCCATCAGCAACCACGCTCTTCTTGTGGGCATTCACCTGAGTGACTCAGATGGTTAGATAAGCAGTTATGGTTTATTTCCACAGTTTGCAGCTCCAAAGACAGATGTCTCACCAGTCTAGTTTTTCAAGTGGCATACCACATAGGTAGGCAACAGCACAAGAGTCAGTAAAATTATAGGAAGGTTGATCAAAGAGGTTATTGGCGAGAGCTATGAAATGGCCTTGTGTTCTGCCCACCAAGAGGAGCGACAGCATCCATTTTTGGCTCTGCATCACTGGCAATGAGGTTGAATGGCTGCATCAGCCAGGGACAGCGCTGGGTTTCAGCCTAGCCGAACCACAGTGAACCAGGGCCGGGCATTTAGGGGAATCTCTGTGAACTGAGAGCCCCATGGAACCAGCAGCTTTGCTTCAGTTGGCAGAGTAGGGGATAAAGTTTTTCGCAGAGGGATATCTGCCAATTTTCCATGTAAAGTAGAGATGTTGAAGCCAGGCCACATCCTTAAATTTACCATTTCCAAATGAGGATTATTGGGTCCTTCCCACTTTGTTAGAAGTTGAGTCCAAGTTGACCTACCCCCAAATGTGAGCATTAAGCTAGAGTGTCAGAAGGCCTCCATGGGTCGGGTGTTTAGTTTCGATAGGAGCCCAGTAGCAAGCTGATGCTGCTTTTCAAGATGAGTGTACCCGGTAACCATGTTAGGAAGGTGGCAGGTCCAGAACCCTAAGGGGTGCCACTGAGCACAGGCTGCCTCCATCACCATCTCCACCAGACTACTGTCTCCATCTGACCCTGTGGGAGCCTCCTCAGCCCACCCACATGAATGGTCTGTCCACAAGGGCAGATCACAGGGTCAGGTACCTTGGGAACACTAAGAGATTTAAAACCTGCATCTGCCAGCCATCTAGTACTAACCATGGATCCAAGACTCCAGTGTACAGACTTGAAATCAGGGGGTCTGGTTTCCTGTCCCAGTACAGCCAGATGTGGGCTTTGGCAAGGCTCAACATCTCTGAGCCTGTTTCCTCATCTGTGAAGGCAGAATAACAAATTCCAACCTCACAAGATGTTTGTGGGGATTTAATGGAGGCTATGTTTACAAGGTTTTTTTTTTGTAAATTGCAAAACCCCCGTGCCAATGTGAAATATAAAATATGATCATAGGGGCTTCCCTGGTGGCACAGTGGTTGAGAGTCTTCCTGCCGATGCAGGGGACACGGGTTCGTGCCCCGGTCCGGGAAGATTCCACATGCCGCGGAGCAGCTGGGCCCGTGAGCCATGGCCATTGAGCCTGCGGGTCCGGAGCCTGTGCTCCGCAACGGGAGAGGCCCAACAGTGAGAGGCCCGCGTACCGCAAAAAAAAAAAAAAAGTATGATCATGATACAAAATGGTATATGGTAAATGCTAATTAAGTGGAAAGGAAATAAATGTGATTTCCGTTGAGCTGATTTAAAAAAAAAAAAAAAGGCATTACTGATAAAGGTCAAACTGGGTTTGGGTAAGTGGCCAAGGTAAGTAGAACTTGACCTGAACATATCCTCTCTGCTCCCCTACCTCTGTCTGCTGTCACCATTTAAGTCGCAGTGGTTTGCCTTCACTTTTCTTTCTTTCCCTCTTTTTTAAATTAATTTATTTTATTTTATTTATTTATGGCTGCATTGGGTCTTCCTTGCTGCTTACAAGCTTTCTCTAGTTGCAGCAAGCAGGGGCTTCTCTTCCTTGTGGTGCCTTCTCTTGTTGCAGAGCACGGGCTGTAGGCACGCGGGCTTCAATAGTTGTGGCGCACAGGCTCAGTAGCTGTGGCTCACGGGCTCAGTAGTTGTGGCTTGTGGGCTCTAGAGCACAGGCTCAATAGTTGTGGCTCGCAGGCTCTAGAGCGCAGGCTCAGTAGTCGTGGCCCCCGGACTTAGTTGTTCCATGGCATGTGGGATCTTCCTGGACCACAGCTCGAACCCCTGTGCCCTGCATTGGCAGGCGGATTCTTAACCACTGTGCCACCAGTGCAGTCCTACCTTTGCTTTTTTTTTTTTTGCGGTACGCGGGTCTCTCACCGTTGTGGCCTCTCTCGTTGTGGAGCACAGGCTCTGGACGCGCAGGCTCAGCGGCCATGGCTCACAGGCCCAGCCGCTCCGCGGCACTTGGGATCTTCCCGGACCGGGGCACGAACCCGCGACCCCTGCATCGGCAGGCGGACTCTCAACCACTGTGCCACCAGAAACCCCTGCTTTGCTTTTTTAAGGTGCTTTGTGCCTCCAAGTCTCTTTCTGGGAGCGCGTAAAGGTCTCATTTTTCTCCTTTGGGCTCTAGGTGATGGTGGTTGGTGATTATGTGTTTTAATCAGAGGTAATTCAATCCTTTTTACCCCCCCAAGACTAAATTAAGACTGGGAATGAGATCCGAGCGCTAGGTGGGACCAGCGGCTGCAATTGGTAGGAGGAATGGGCTAGTGGGGCGGGGCGAGTCCTCTTCCTTTTAAGCTTCCTAGACTGTGAACTCTTGACCTTGGCGGGCCCACAAGCTTAACCCGACAGGGTGCACGGTGGCCTTGCGGAAACCGGCGAGGAGAGCGAGGCCGGCGCCAGGCACTGGTGGGGCCGGGACGGGGTCTTGGGCAGCCTAAACGTGCGCTGGAGTGGAGCGGGCTCGCTGCTGGCCCCTCGGAAACCCTACGTCCCAAAGTCCCGGTCCTCGGCAGCGGCGGGTGAGTAGGTCAGAGGGTAGTTGAGCTCGCGGTGGTGGAAGTTAGTGAAGGGTCTTTGTGCCGCAACCTTCCGCCCCTGACCTCGGCAGGCGAGGGGAGCATCGCGCCCCGCATCTTGGGGGAGCTTCCAACCCCTGGGGCCCATGGGGAAACCTGGGTTAGGGTATGGCCCAGGGCGCCGACCACTCCGGCCGCGTGGGGGACTCGGCGAAGAGGACGGGCTCCTGGCACGTGCTGAAAAAGTCGGGATCCCAGCAACGAAGTTTCGGGGCAGACAGGCATCGGGCAGTGCCGTCCCAGTCAACGGGACCAGTTCAGCGCACAGAAACCCCAACCAGTGGGTATTAACGAGCGTGCCACGCAGTGGTGAGCGAAACTCTCCGTCCCTGCCCGCGGGAGGCCCCGAGACCGGAGTGTGGGGCTGGGCGCGCAGTGACGGGAGGTACGCCCTGTGGGCTCGCGATCTGGTCCGGCAGAGCTGGGCAGGAGCTGCAAAGGGTCATTGAGGACAGAGCAGAGACCCGAAGACCGGGTGAGAAGGGCTAATGCCCGAGGGTCTTTTTGCTTGGCCGAAAGGCAGAAAACAATAGTGGCTGGAACACCACGGTGGGGGGAGGCGAGGGCGGACCCCACGAAGCCTGGCAGGTGTGGTGGGGATTTCGGTCGTTCTCAGAATTGCTATGGGAAACCATGGACGGGTTTGGGGTTAGAGAGAGATTGGGTGGACTCAGAGAACTGGAAAATGGCGACACATTCCCTCGAGGAATTTACATTCTGGAAGGGCAGGGACGGGCCGGGAACAGATAAACCGGTCTGCGCCGAAAGTCTGTTGAGTTATATCCAGCCTCTTTCCCTCGTGGCCCAGCCGGCTTGAGCTCTGGGGCGTGTGGATGTAGAAAGTACTATCGAGATAAAAGTGCCAGAGGCAGGCAGCAGCTGCCAGAAATTTCAGTCTCCATAGTCATGCTCCCTTCCCAAACCAGAGAACCAGCTTAGAATCTGGACCGAGGGCCTCAGGCTACCACCTGCAGCAAATGCTTTTTGAGAATGACTGACAGGGGTGGGTCTTTCCTGCGGGAGAACGGGAAAGCCAGGACCTTGAGGATACTATTACTGAGACTATACTATTACTGAGACTGTTTTGAAGTGTTACTTTCATTGTGTTTGGCTGGAGAGTAGGAGAATATTCCAGACCTGCCCCTCTCACGCGATGATTGTGGATGGTCTTGAAAGAAAGGAAAGGAGGGAGGGAAGGAGGGACTCAACTTCACCTCCCAGGAATGCACCTTTCCTGTCAGCTTTCTTTTTAGCTATCTCACTAACTCCATTGTTGAATGCCCTTTTCCTTGCTGGCATTTTCAATTCTACCACCTTTCAAAGAAGTGAAAGGAAGAAAGTCAACAGGTTTTTATGTCTTCATTCTTTTCATTCCATCTGGAGGGAGGAGAAGCGGGGTGAGTGGCTGTCAGTAGGAGGAGGTGGGAGTTCAGCCACGTGTGGGCAGAGCAGGAACTTCCTGGGCTGGGCAGGCAGCCCAGCGCCGGGCTCCTTGGGAGCCCTGCAGAAGCATTTGCTGTTGGGTCGTTACCATTATCATTCTTTTTTTTTTTTGGCCATGCCTCAAGGCATGTGGGATCTTAGTTCCTGGACCGGGGATCAAACCTATGCCCCCTGCAGTGAGAGCTAAGACTCTTAACCACTGGACCACCAGGGAAGTCCCTCCATTATCATTCTTTACAAGTATCTGTATGTATTAAAAATCCACAGAATCGTATATTTTTGGGTCCTGGATGGGATCTTAGAGAGTCTCCTTTAATCTTACTTTCCAATAAAACCAGATCAGAATGAAGAAACTTGTACAAGGTGGTTTGTGGCAGATCCAGGGATGGTTACCTCAGGCACATGCTTTCTTTCCAGAATACCGTGATGTTGCTCTAGAGAGGGCTTTGGGACAGTGGCAATCATGTCCTCAGTGGTAGAGTCAAGGCTTTGAACACAGACTCTGCTGTGGACCGGGAGTATCCTTGAGCACATTACTTAGCATCTCTACTTTAGGTTCCTTAAAATGGGGTCATTAATTGTTACCTCATGGGGCAGTGCTGAGGGGTTTTAGGTACAAAGCAGGAGTTCAGTAACTCTTGGTGTTCCCTGACCAAATTAGGAAACTGCTGTTCCTCACTCACTCCCCCTCTTGCTGATACGATTTCTCTCTGACCTCAGGTTCCTAGAGGTGGGCACCAGCCAGCGGCTAGAAACAGGTGAAGCAGAAGGCAGACGACGCCTTCCAAGCCCCAAGCTGGCATTACTGAACAGCGGCTCCTGAGCCGAGGGTGACCAGGTTCCTGAACTCTGTGGCCTAGGCTTGGAGAGAATCAAAGATGTTCTCAGCTGTGAAAGAGGAGAATTTGGACAGCAGGACAAAAAAGGAAGACAGCCCCCTGGAGCAGATACCTTTGCCACTGGAGGCCACATCAAACCCTGGGGCCTTTTCAAAGTCTCCCCCTCTGCTCAGTCACTGGGAGGTAGATAGCCCCAGGAAGGAGCCCAGTCAGCCTTGGGGGCCAGACCAGGAGTGGATAAAGCTAGAAAGAGACATCAGGGAAGAGGTGGTGTTTGACCTGCTGAAGCCAACTGAACCTGTACAGAAGCTGCTCCCTCAGGTGGATGAGGAGGCCCTGCAGGAAGCCGTGAAGGGAGAATGCTGGTGGAAGGCATGGGTGAAGGTGAGGAGACCAAGCGAGAGACAGAGGGAGGGGCTGGGTCCTGGACTCCAGGAGCTCTTTCATCCATTATCCTGTCTACAGAACAAATGGAATCTCAAGAGTGTTCCAAGATAAACAGCACTCAGGAGAAGGGGTTTCAAGGACTTTTTTTCAGACTCCACACCACCCTGGCATCCTTCAAGGAGTCCTTGCTGAAATTCATCAGAGTGGCAGCCTTTTTCCTTTGCGTTCTTCCTACTTATATTCAGTATATACCCCTCCTTTCTCCCCCCACATTGTTCTTCCCTCCTCTCCATCCTTCCTTTCCTGTCTGTACATTAAAATTGCTGGCTTTGTACTTGTCTTTTCCTATTTCTCCCTTCCTTCCATGTTTTTCTTTTTCTGTTAGTTGTCTGAATCTTGAGACAGGATGTCTGTCTGTCTATATACAGACTCTCTGAATCTCTCCTGTTCTTCCAGAAGCCAGTCACCTCTGAGGATGTGGCAGTGAATTTCAACCAGGAAGAGTGGGAATGTCTAGATGCCAGTCAGAGGGTCCTCTACCAGGACGTTATGTCAGAGACCTTCAGAAACCTGATGTCTGTGGGTAAGAGGCTGGGGTTCCTCACAAGCCCTCTGTCCCAGGCCTCTGGGACATCTTGTTTCCCTGGGCAGGTAGATCAGCTCACAATTAGCTTCACTGATCCTTGGTTCTATACGTTCCAGGTATGCAAGATCTGGGTTACTAGGCTCAGGGTGAAAGAAGAAATGAAAGCTTGCATGAAGGCAAAGATAAGGCTTGTGACATGACGATAATGTTCTCAAAGTATGCAAATCTGCTTATTCATCCAACTAGTATTTACTGAGTCACTCCTATTATATACCAGGCACTTTGTTAAGAGCTGGCCTTTTGCGTGTCTCCTCCCTGCACCTAAGTGTCCCAGATTATGGCTCTTAAACCAAAGATAACGGAAGAAGGTAGCCTGTTATCCCCATCAGGTGTGAAGGGGCCGAGCCTGGGACTCCAACTCTTCCTCTCCTTCCCACTCCCCAGTCAGAATCTTTCTGTCTAATCCAGACCTGATCGCCAAGTTTGAACAAGAAGAGAAACAGTGGAGAGCAGGTCTCCGTCCCCCAAACGGAGAAGGCCTTCATTCAGGTAAGAATTGCAAAGGAGAGAGGAGGGTGAAAAGGACCCAGGACATGCCTTGGGAGGATAGAAATGACTAAGAGGATCGGGGTCTGCATACCCGCCCCGAGCCTGCATCCTTCCTGCCTGGTCAGACGTGGAGCTGGAAGAAACCTTGACCTCATCTGCTCAAGTGCCCTGGCTTCAAGAAGATGAGTATCTAAAGCATTCAGGACAAATGAATATCTTCAGTTTCTAGAGATGGAGAGATTCCATGTCAGTTGCTTATGTCAGTGATACCGCCTTGATTAAAAAGTCCTTTCCGGGACTTCCCTGGTGGTCCAGTGGGTAAGACTCCATGCTCCCAATGCAGGGGTCCCGGGTTTGATCCCTGGGTGGGGAGCTAGATCCCACACGTGTGCCGCAACTAAAAGATCCCATATGCTGCAACTAAGATCTGGCGCAGCCAAAATAAATAAGTAAATAAATTTTCCTTTTTTTTTTTAGAGTCTTTTCCAAAAGAAAAGAAAGGGAAGGGAGATGAGCTTGATGCTGAGTTGGAGCAGGGGAGACTTGTTCTTAAGAGTAGAATAAAGACTTGAGAGAAATTTAAGTCTGAGCTGACCACACACCTGGTTTGCCAGGACAGTCCTGGTTTATGCTTCTCATCCTAGCTTGATGGTTAATAGCACCTCCCGTCATTCAAGCGTCCCAATTTGCATGATATATTATGAGGTCACCTGTAGGTATCTGGGGTGTCTGGGAGTACGAACAAAATTGAAAATGAGAGGAATTAACACACATGGTAAATCAACTATACTTCAATTTAAAAAAAAAAAATGAAAGGAAATGGATTTCAAGAAATGTGGTTAAAATTTTGATCTCTGATATTTTTGGAAGATTCCAGTTAAATTTTTATTTGCTTTTAATTGGAAAACCCCAAAGTTTATTCTTATCTCTGGCCTCTGAGGTCTAAGAGTGAGTGTGAATGTCGGGGGGGGGGGAGGGAGGGCAGAAAGAGGGGAAGTAGCTTGGACTGAGAGCTTGTGTCGGGGTTGTCATGGTGAATCTCGCTATTCTTCCTCATTCCTTACAGGAGGCAAGAGAGAGGAACTTCAAGAACAGAGTCAGAGTTTGGGAGATGAGGGAAATAGCGATGACAAGAAGGTCTCCCTTGCTTGCAGAAGAGCAGGCCCATCCTCTGCTCCAGCTGGGTCCCTGGACAGGACAGCAGTGTTCCCAGCATCCTGGGCTGGGCCACCCTTTACCTGCCATACCTGTGGCAGGTGCTTCAGCAAGCGCTCCAGCCTCTACAACCACCAGTTTGTTCACAGCTGCGGCCAGTGCGGGAAGTCCTTCCTGAACCCCAAGGACCTCAGCTACCACCGGCGCAAGCACCTTGGGGAGAGGCCCTTCTGCTGCTCGCTCTGTGACAAGACCTACTGTGATGCTTCTGGACTGAGCCGTCACCGCCGTGTCCATCTGGGTTACCGGCCCCACTCATGTCCCTTCTGTGGGAAGTGCTTTCGGGACCAGTCTGAGCTCAAACGCCACCAAAAGATACACCAAGGCCAGGAGCTGGGGGCTGGAAACCAGAAGCATATCCTGAAGATTCCAGACAACACAGCTGGATTCCAGGGGCTGGCAACTGCAAACAATGCACCAGTGGCCGGGACCCAAGGACCCTCATTTAAAACCGCCGGTCCCGAGGCTCAGACCCAGCCATCTATAGACAGGAGCCCGGCACCTGCAACCAAGAACCAGGTAGTCACTGGGAAGGCTCAGCGCCCAGTCGTTACAACTACAGAGCCTGTGACCAGGACCCAGGCAGCCAACACGAGAACCGCCTGCCTGGATGCCAAGTCCAGCTCTCACCCAGGAAAGCCTTCAAGACTCAAGGTCTTCTCTTGCCCTCATTGTCCCTTGACTTTTAGCAAGAAAAGCTGTCTCTCCAGCCACCAGAAGGCCCACTTCACAGAGCAGTCCAACTGCTGCTTCCACTGTGGCAAGTCCTTCACTTTATTCTCTGGGCTGGTCAGGCACCAGCAGACTCACTGGAAGCAGAAGCTCTACTGTTGCCCTATCTGCGACGTCTGCTTTGGGGAGAAAGAGGACCTTTTGGGTCACTGGGGGGGCTACAGGGGCAAGGGGCTCTGCCTGGGCAGTCCCCATAAATGCTGGGCGATCCTGGGTCAGTCGCTTGGCTTCTTTCCCGATGCGCCCACTGTGGCAGGGGAGGAGACGGATCTTTCTCCTGGATCCATACCCTCAGGAGAGGGAAGGAAGGGAGGGGAGAAGGCAGCAGAGGAAAGAAAGCAGATAAGGCAGTGAAGGTCTTGGAATGTAAATAAATGGCCTTTCCACCCAAGGTCTTTCTCTGTTTGGTTTTCCTGAGGGCTAACCTCCAGGGTAAGGAGACTGGGGTAGAGGAAGAGAGAGGTGAAGGAATAATGAAGGAAGCACAGAAAGGAAAAGGGACAAGAGGTGGCACATGGAAACTTGTAGTATTATTAATTAGCACCCAGCTTGTTTCTTTGTGTCTGACAGACCATCAAGTAGTAGTTGTTGAAGACAACAGTGGACACTCCAATAGATATGAAGATGGGAGAAAAAAGATGAGTGGGGGAGAGAGTGTGAGGGACCCATCTGGGCCAGATGTAGAAGGGAGGCATTTTAAAGCAGGTGTGTGGCCCAGTTCTCACCCCTTGCTCCCCTGGCACCTTGGTAGGCTGCGGGGGCAAGATGGAGCTCTGGCCAGTGTTTTGCGGGTTTCTCCCCATCTCCTGTTTTTGGTTAGGGCTCCCCATGTCCTCACTCTGCAGGTCACTTGGCGCTGTCTTGGATGTTTTGGACTTTTCCTGCTCCTTCCCAGCAGGGCTGAGATCTTGGAAGAAACGACCACCATTTGCAAAGTTGGTGTGCTATAATTTGCAGTGAGGAGGTTCATGGCAGAGACCCTCTTGTCTGTGTTACTCTGCAGCACAGGTGCCCTCTGATGGAGAGAAGAGCAGCTGCCTGGCTGTAACCAGAGAGGGCTTCCAGATGGAAGATAGACCAAGGAGTAGAAATATGTGGGCAGCATAAAGGGGGAGAGGAAGGAAGGAGCTGGGGAAAGGGAGAGACAAAGTAGATGACAGAAGAGAAGTTGATCCTATTTGGAATTCAGAGCGTTCCTGCAAGTGCAGATTGGAATGTCCCCACAGCAAAGAGGCCAGTGAGTGCAACTTGATGGATGTGACATCCCCGAGGACCAGTCTTTGGGCCAACCAGGCTCTTCTCCACCCTGCCAAGATGCGACATCGTTCAGAAGGGGTTTCCTAGAAGGAGGAGAAAATGACTTGAAAAAGCTGTCAACAGTTTCTGTCATGAAACTGTCACACCAGGGAGAAGAAAGCCCTGTGGAGTCATCTGGCCTTGGAGGGGAGGCCCAGGGCAGCTGCTGTAGGGAACAATTGAGAAAGGAGGCCAGCTGGAGTGGGATTCTTGCTTTGGAGCACGAAGGTGGAGGAGGAATCCTCCCTCCAGCCAGGCTCACCAGCCCTTCCTTTCCTTTGGGATTTTGCTCCCTCAGTAGCCCCCTCTTCCCCTTGCTGCTTTCCTTGTTTTTTTTTTTTTTTTTTTTTGCTCTCAGCTTATAAGAAAGAGAAGAAAACTTACTTAGCTCTTCAAGAAATTGCCCTGAAAACAAAGAGAAATAGGTGATGAGTGGAAGATGACTAACTCCTCCCACATCCTCCCTGTGGAATTCATAGTCACCCCCCCCTTTCCACTAAGGGACCCCACAGATCTCAGTAAGTGGCTCTTTATGGATTCTCTGAGGAGCCTGGAGTTGGCCATGTGGACAGAGCAGGAAGGAAATTCCAGCTCTGAATCTTGAGCCCTGGTTCCATCCACCCTCTTTATGTTTCCCACTCAGGGCTGGCTTGATCCCCTGCTGCCCAGTGGTCCTGTTTGCTGCCCCAGCACTGCACCTGCTAGTCGTCCGTGTAGCCAGTTGTAGCAGATGATCAAGGCCACCAGGGGTCCGAGAAATGGCACGATTACAAACAGGGTTATCTTCCAGCAGGGCACCCTCAGGAAGTGGGGATCTGAATCGTTTGCCACAGAACAAACAGGATTAACATGTGTTCCCCCTTGTGTCCCACCCACCCCTCTCCATTTATTATTGGGTTTATTTTGGGTGGTGGAGGGGGGAGGTTCTTAACCTGGGTTCCAAAATAGTTTGTGGATAGAGTCCAGGGAGTTCATGAATTTGGATGAGAAAAGCATTCCATTTTTATTTTCACTAACTTCAAACTGAATTTAGCATTTTCTTACACTAAAAATGTAGCTAACAAACCAGTTATCGGCAGTACCTGTGACTTTATCACCAATGGAAACATTCCCTTGAAAGTTGTTGCAGAAATCTCAGTATACTGTTTATCAATATTTTGAAATCACCAAATTATTAGACCTGCTGCTACATTTTATTATTTAATGTATATTTTGTATTTAGTGTATATTATTTAATGTACATTTGTTACTTTATCACAAATTGGTTTATATTTCGAAAACTATTTCAAAACAATGGTTTTCTTTGTAATCCTATGTGTTATATTTTATGTGTACAGTTCAAAACATTCTGGGAAGGGAGGGGTCCATGAGGCTTCACCAGATTGCCAAAGAGTACAAAAAGTTAAGACCTTTGTTTTTTTGAATCCTGTAAAACAAAGATCCTGCTCCTTCCCTTTGAGTTGCAGACTATGTGTGTTGTTTTTCCTGCACACTGATTAAATGCTAGCGTGGAGCCAGGGGCACCTCCAGCCTCAGGAGGAGAGGCTGTTCAGGAAGTCTGCTCAGAGCAGGGACCATCTTATAATTTCTGCAACACCCGTTCAACAAATATTTGGGTGCCCTTCTATTGTAGGCATTGTCGTTAGGCACTGGACAATCTGCAGTGAATAAAAAGGACAGATGTCCTAGGGCCAACATTCTTTTTTTTTTGTCCTAGGGCCAACATTCTTTTTTTTTTTTTTTTTGCTGCATGGCATTCGGGATCTTAGTTCTCCCACCAGGGATTGAACCCTCACCCCCTGCAGTGGAAGTGCAGAGTCTTAACCAGTAGACCACCAGGAAGTCCAGGCCAACATTCTAGTGGGGTTTGATGTCTTCACTCTTCCCCCAAGTCGCCTTCCCTGAGGAGTCACATGTAGTTACTCATTCTGTACTGTGAAAACTCCTTCCTCTGTGAGTTGTCGGTGATGTATATGTACTTTGTTCTCCAGTAATTTATGTATATGTATCACCTCCCCAACTAGACATCAAGTTGATGTGCAAAGGATCTGTTTACCTCCCCTTTGTAATTCCTGAAAAAAGAAGTAATGTACATAAAGTACTTGTAATTCCCAGAACGTTAACATTTGGGAAGCTGTTACAGTGCCAGGTACATGAAAGCGTAATGTAAGTGTTTGCTATTATCTAACCCATCCTAGGTGCAGATGATGACATTCAAAGAAAGAACAAGAGCGAGGAAACCAACCAGAAGCCAGGGGTCCTTACATCCCCAGGTAACAGGAGCCGAGTGAAGCACCAAGCTGACCTGGGGGGCTGGGTACCCCAGGACTTACCAAAAGTCCGGTGGAGATTCTCTGAAAGAACAAATGGAAAGGGATTATTAGTATGGCACTCGAAACAATCTTTTCTCCTCTGAGCCTTTGTTATTTAGTCACTTTAAATTGTAAGTGATGCACGATGGAGGAAAGGAAGCTGTAGGATTTTACTTCTACTCTGGCTGAAGGCAGGGAAGAGGAATGAGACTCTATGACTGGTTATAGGAGTTTTAATAGTGAAGTTCCCGCCTGAAGGGAGCACAGGGTATTGGGACAGAGGCAGAGATGGTCTGAGAAAATGACCATTTCAGTTACACCAGAAGACCTGGAGGGAGGCATAGGGAGGGAAGGTGCCTGGAACTCACCCATCTCTGCTGGAAGTTTTCCTAAAATAGAAAAAGGCGACATTTTTAGTTCCAGCTCAGGCACTAGATGGGGCCCCTCCACACCCATTGCCTTGGGCCTTTGTGCAGGTTGTTTCTCAGTAGCCCATGAACTCCCTTAGAGTGAGAAGAGCACCAGATTTGAAAGCAGGAGTTCAGGCTCATTCCCTGGCTATTGCCTGGGTTAAATATTGGGTTAAAGAAAGTGGAGAAGCTCAGTAGACAGCGATGTTCACCAATGCCCCAAACGAATCTAAGGTTTTATTACCGCCCCCACTGCTCTCTGCTCCTTTTCTTGCTGGTTCTCAGTTCACAAGGTCACTCCACCCCGCTGGGTTGTCACTTAGTAAATCTAAAGCTACTTCGCATCTGAATGAGGAAGGAAGGAACTAAGTTTTTAGTTGAGCCGCTGCTTTGTGACCGGCTCTGTACTAGATGCTTTACATAACACTATCCCCTTTAATCCTCCCATAACTTGTAGGAGGGAGGATGTTATCTCTACTTGACTCAGAGTAGGCAACTGAGGCTTGGAGAGTTCCGTCATTGTCTGAACTGGATCTAAACCCAGGCTGGCCAACTCCACTGATCAGGTTCTTTCTGCTCAGCCATGTGGGCTGAAGACCTTTCTCATGTGGGAGAAGAGGTAACTGAGTATCTGGGATGAGGTCAAGGGAAGAGAAGATCCCACCAATATCCCCTTTCATATACTCCAAGCCATCCTTGCTGCTTTATCCTCTTAGGAATGGGAGGCGGAGGAGAATTGGAGGCCCTGAGGGCTTTGGCTTTGAGAATGCTTGGTGGCGGGGAGAAGTCTCAAAATGAAAGCTCTTGGGCACAAGAGAGGAGCTTCAGACGGTTGAACCCATGTCCTCAGTGTTGGATGGAAAAGGAGGAAACAACACCTACTATGTGGTAGGGACTTTTACTTACAGTATCTTTATTTAAACCTAGTAGCACAGAGTTGCCTGATTCTGAAGCTCACACTCCCCCAGTTGCATAAGCTGCTGTGTATGTTTCAGGGGCCAGAAGATAGGGGTTTAGGCCTGAGCTCTGCCACTTATAAGCTGTGCCAGCTTGAATAAATCTCTGAACCACTCCAGGCCTCAGTTGCTTCCTCTCTAAAATGGGGCTATTATATATCAGCCCTACCTCATAGGGAAATGAAAGGCCCTATTATCTAAATGATATTTACATTCGGTAGGATGTAAAACTTGTCGTTATGGAGTTCTGAACCCAGAAGTCCCTCAAAAATAAACGTTAGCTGACCAAGCTCCAAGAGACCAGGGACTTCAGGGAAGGGTCCCCAGCCAGCCACCCTCCAGCCTGTACCTCTGAGTCTGCGCTGCAGGCAGAGGAAGGCAAGGCCCACAGTGATCTGCAGGAGGAGCACAGGCAGAACCGCGATGAGCGCCAGCACTCCAGGGTTGATCCAGTAGAAGGGATCTGAAAGGCAGAACCGGGGGGCCCAGCACTGCGTCATCAACACCCAGCACAGTGCCCACAGCTCCATGAGTCAGGATCAAAGAAGATGACTCAGAACTAACACCTAAGCTTAGGTTTAAAGGAAAAGTAAGTGGTTGTTTCTGGGAAGGGCCAGTGGTTTAGAATGACAGGAGTCGAGGCTGTATACTGGGCCAGTCTTGGAGAGTTCTGAGAACCACGAAAAGGACTTAGATCTGATCCTCAAGGTCACGGGGTACACTGAAGCATTTCATGCTGAGGAGTGACAAGGTCTGATTTACTGACTGCAGGACTGGAGGAGGGGGTCGAAGGCAGTCAATTAAGAGGCCATGGTAATGGTGAAAGTAAAACACATGAGCCTAGGACAGTGGTGGCAGTGTAGGAAGTCAAGGTGAACTTAAATAGGAAAAAAATACGTATTTTCAGCAAACTTTAAGCTGAAATTTAGTGTTTCTTTCAATTATGTTTGTAGGAAACACTCCACAACAATATGAACAGAACCTGAGACTTTGTCATCCCTAAAAATCACAAATATTTTCATATCACGGTACAGAAATCTCAAAATGTCACTTATGTTCATTTTGAAATGACACTATTATTAGGGCCACCCCATATCTTACTTTAATATTTTGATAACTGTATTTCAGTACAAGTATGTTTTATGCATTTCAAATATCCTTCTGAGAAGGGGTTCATGACTTTACCGGTCCGACAAAAGGGTGCATGACACAAAGAAGAGTTAAGAACCTTTCTTCTGGAGCTTTTGAGAAAGTAAGATCCGCCGGATTTGGTAACTGAGCGGACATGGAGTGGGAAAGATAGACAGGGGATGACCTTTGGCTCTCTGGCGCCATCTATTGCCCATTCTCGAGTCGGCTCAGTGCCCCAAAGCTTTCCCTGTATAATCTCAATGTTCAGGGCCGGCCCTTGACATCTTGTTCTCTGCGTTAGGGGGCTAGATAAAGATACTGCCATCAGGGTAGGCACTAAGTCACAGCAAACAACATCAAACTGGTTTCTTAGGTATAAATACCATCCTTCAAGCTGCGGTTTCAGGCTCTTGTCTGTTACTGTGTTCCCCAGAAGAAAACACAGCCAGCTCTACTTTCAAAGTTCTCATTGGAAGTTACCTGGAGCAACATGTTTAACAATTACATATTTTAGTTCCTTTTTTTGTACACCTTTTATATTTTAACAAAGGGTTAGGATCACAAAAAGAGAGAAAAAGAGATATTATGAGACTTCTGATGTAAAGTGATATGAACGAAGTATATAGCATCACCTATGAAATATGCTTGACAAAATAAATCGAACCTGAATCTGATTGTTCATATCCTAATCTATAAGTTTACAGAAAATAAAAGGTATGGAACACTGTATTAAACAACGTGGGAATGAAATCAGCAAAATCTAGATCGTGGGAAACTCTACAGGGCGAATACCAACCTGTGGATCTTGTTTGGGTTGGATTCAAGCAAACCAACTGTAAAAATATATTTATAAAACAATCATAAAAATGTGAACACAGACTGAGTATTGGTAAGAATTTTTGTTAAATTTTAAAGTTGTAATAATAGTATTTTGGTTATGATTTTGTTTTGTTTTTGAGTTTTTCTATTCGAGACATACGGTTTTGAGGATTTAGCAATGACACAATAATGCTGCCTAGGATTTGCCGGAGGAATTCATTTGGGGAGGATGGTGATGAGTGGGGTCTAGTGAAACAGGTGGCCTGTCCTTGGGTCATAACTGTTGCAGTCAGGTGGTGGGAACTTGGAGGCTCATTATAATAATCTCTCTACTTCTGTATATGTTTTAAAGTTTCATAATGAAGAGTTTTAAGAAAGGTTTAGAGACAACTAGTAATAAAATCACAAAACTGACAAGAAAAATACAAAGTTAGAAGGAGAGATTAGAAACTCTTTAGAGAAAGAGGTGAGGTAATTACACCTGAAACCTGGCAATCACATAGTTACTGCATTTCAGTCCTAAATTTGTCTCAGCTTCCTCACGCTAGGTGGGTGGTCCATCATTAAACTCTCTTTTTTAAAAGACTCTTAGGCATGCAGATTATGAGAAAGGAGAAGAGGGTGGGAATGTGGAAATCCACCGAAAGGAAAACTTTCTCCCCAGGCAGTTCATTTGTTTGTTTGTTTGCTTGTTGGGGTGGGGTGGGGATGTACTTGGGGAGGCAGTTACTGAGCCTGGAAGCTACTGAACAGGAATGAGGAAAATCGGAAAACCAGAGAGATCCTCACTATCAGACTTCCTTGCAGGTAAAAATCCCCCAGTGTAAACAGCTGTATGAAGAACATTCTGTGACACACAAAGCTGTTTTCACATCCCTGAGATCCGTCTCTAGAAATAGTGCTTTGTTATCCTGCATACAATGCCGTCTTCTGGTCCCAGTACTGCAACAGTGGCCCTTGAGATACAAAAGTGATCAATTGTCTGATGTTTGCCCAGCAGGTGGGGAGGAGGGAAGGGAAATGACCTGAGGCCCAGGCCTCAGAATATTTTTGTTCCTCAATTAAATAGCAATTAACTTTCAAATCTCCCCCTCCTTGTCCGTGTCTTAACCCCTCGGGGATAAAACAAAAAAATAAATTTCAAAGTCATCCCTCACATAAAGCATACCACAGGGCTTCCCTGGTGGCGCAGTGGTTGAGAGTCTGCCTGCCGATGCAGGGGATGCGGGTTCGTGCCCCGGTCCGGGAAGATCCCACATGCCGCGGAGCGGCTGGGCCCGTGAGCCAAGGCCGCTGAGCCTGCGCGTCCAGAGCCTGTGCTCCGCAACGGGAGAGGCCACACCAGTGAGAGGCCCGCGTACGGCAAAAAACCCCCAAACAAACAAAAAGCCAAACATACCACAAATGAAATTCTGGAGAAAGGAATCAGTGGAGGTAAAATCTATAGGTAACATCTCTTTTTATGATTATATTCAGACATTAGTTCTACTTGTTTAATTCCTTGCAACGATGTTTACCAGGAATATATTGTTTAATAATGTTCCTCATCTAATAAAACACCACAAACACATCAAATGAGGAATTCACTGTAATAGGGTTTGACTCCTTAGGAATAAGGCCTTTGTTTATAACAAATAAATGAAAAGACAATCCAAAGCAAAACAAGAAAGGAGAAGGTCCACTTGGATACTTTGATTATCTTTCAGATAAGTAATATTCCCCTCTAGTAGCACAAAATAATCACAAATGGATTATTTTGGATTTTGCTGCCTACATTTTTCATTTTTTCTATTTAAAAAGTTTTAAAGGTTCTCTATACGTACCCACAAATGTGCATGTTATATACACACTTTTATATAAATGGATAAATTTTTTGTTCCCTAGATTCTGTAGCTTGCTTTTATCACTCAACAATACCTTGTAAAATGCCTCCAAGCTGTCTGGAATGGTCCTACAACAATCTTTTAAATGGCTGCATGATATTCACTGTGTGGGTAACAGTGTTTACTCAGTCACTTCCCTGCTCATGGGCACGGACTCTGATTCTGGCTTCCTTACATCATTACAGAATAATGATGTAACGGACAATGTGAGCATATGAATTCCCAGAGATACTGATGTGCGTATCTCTATGGAGTTAATTCCCAGGAATGAGCTGTTTGGGTTGAAGGATCTCATCTCAATTGAGAGAATGACTGAAGGCTCAAAGGGACGTCCTGGCCACCCAACAGACAATACCTACTATTATAGACACTACTCACCTTCCACTTTCAATTCTATTGCTGCCTCCTCTTGGTAAGAATGATCTCGGAAGAAGCAGGTGAAACCTCCTTCATCTGAGAACCTTACATTCCGGATCCTGAGGGTCACCTTTCCCTCCCCAATAGTCTCTTTCAGCAGCTCCGTGCGGCCCCGGTATTCAGGCGCCTGTTCTTCATCTTGGTCCTTGCCATTTCGGTAGAGATGAACCACCCTGGAGAAGGGGGGTCGGTACCATCCCACCTCCATGCCTGTAGCGTTCTTTCCTGGAGATATGCGACAGGGCAATTCCGCTTCATCCCCCACCAGCACCCGGATGGGCTGCCCTGGTCCCATTACTCTGAACTGTCCTATCCAAGACACAAAAGAAAAGAAACTGAGCATCAGAGGGAACCTTGACAAACAAACCCTTCATGGGAAGGGCTGCTTCTAAACAGGGAAAGAAGACACTTGATTTTTAAATAGAATTCTAGAGCCAGGGAGAAGCTCAATTTTTCTTAAAGGTCTCTGGTTATAGAGATACCGTGAGTTCCCTGGACAGAACATTCTAGCATGTGGTCATCCCAACCTTTAGGTCCCACCTTGGAATGTGGTCCAGTATCTTGCAGTTTAACTGTCCCATGGGCCTCCCTGTTCAGTCTTGGCCAACTTGATCCTTCTTCTCCCCTTCGAGGTTTTGCTTTGGTCGTTCCTCCACCACCACCTCTCCATCACTTCTCAGCCCTCTGTATTTGTTCACACCCTGGTCCCAAATTCTTCTCCTCTGAGATCTTCCACCCTAGAGGTGGAGGATCTTCTTTCCTTCTTTCCTCCTTCTTTTCCTCTGTATCTTCAGCCCTCTCTACAGCTCCTGGACCCTGCCCTGTACATGTTCCCAGTCTTTTCTCCTCTGTGGGATATATCTCCTTGTCAGCCTTGGAGCTACTAGAAGATGAAGCTAGTTTCTCCATTAGACCTGCAGCCATTTCCCGAGGGAGTATATGTTCTGAGCCTTCTCTGTTAGGCAGCTCCCTGAGATTGGGAATCTGTCTTCAGAGAGCAGGGATCCTCTGTAAAAACTTATTAGTGCCTGATAGTGTGAGACAGAACTCTCAAACATGATGAGACACTACAACTCAACAAACATTTATCATGATTTACCATGGGATAGGCACAACTAAGCATATTATATATACCTTATCTAATTGAACCCTGACAGCAACTCCAAGAGGCTGTTATTATGATATTCCCCATTTGATAGGTGAGAAAGCAAAGTTGGAAAGATAGGTAAGACCAAGTTCAAGGAGAGCCCTGAGTTAAGGTCGCATGATGGATTTGGGTCTCCTTCTGAAGGCTGTAGGGAGGCACTGGCGGTATCTGAGGGGAACCATGTCAGCACATCTATGTTTCGAAAAGATAACTTGCATGGCAACTTGAGGGTGAGTTGAAGGAGGTGAGCCCAGGGAACTAGCCTTCCTGTTCTCAGGGTCTCCCCAGGGCAGGAATAAAGAGAAATCTTACCTGCAGAGCTGGAAGACAGCTGGAGGAGGAAGAGGAGGGAGGGGAGGCAGCTGGGCAGAAAGGAGCTCAAAAAACTGGCCATCTCCACTGTCAGTGGGGAAAGAGAGCCCCTGCAGCAGGGTCAGGCCAACAGAGGCCCTCGGGGTGCGTGTCCCCACGGCTGAAGAAGCCCCAGGGGAGGATCGGGGAGGGCAGAGCTGCCCTGGCCCTGCTTCCTCCCCAGCAGAGTCGCAGCTGTGCTCCCAGGCACAGCCCCACGTTACCCTTGCCAGGCACTTACACAAAAGGGCTACAGAGCCAGGGGATGACCAGGGTTTGCCTTCCCCACCCCCTCAGAGCTACGGAGCAGAGGCTGCCTGGTACTAGGCCTTCCTCCCCCACTCTCTCCCGGTGGCCAGCCTTTGAGGGGGCTTCTAGGATCTGACCTGTTGGGATGGATCACTCACTGGCCCGCAGGCTACAGCTTGTCGGTGCAACCTGCAAGGTTCCTTCAATCCCTCTCCTCCAGGTATCAGCCAAAAGATAGGGATCTGTGTTGGATTTTTAAAAAGGAAGGAACATTTAGACTTGGTTTCCTATTTCTATGGTCTCATAACTGTCATTACCAGGGCATTCTTTCCTCTTGATGTCTGACCTTTCTCTCTCCCACCGCAAATCCAAACGCCCTTCCTTATGTTCAGATGTGTTGCTTGGACTTAGTTAGCTTCTCCCTCCCAAAGAATACATTTCAGAGAGTCACGGGGTTGGGACTTCCTTGGTGGCGCAGTGGATGAGACTCCATGCTCCCAATGCAGGGGGCCTGTGTTCGATCCCTGGTCAGGGAACTAGATCCCACATGCATGCTGCAACTAAGAGTTCTCATGCCACAACTAAGGAGCCTGCCTGCCACAACTGGGACCTGGTGTAACCAAATATATATATAAAAGTAATGCATTTAAAAAAATAATAAAGACACAAGTCAAGTGTCAGGAGTTGATGGTCACCTGTGCTCCAAGAAGCAGGCATGAAGAAAGCAAGATCTGCAAAGTCAGTGGCTGTCAATCAGTACAGGCACTGAGGACAGATCAGCAGTCAGGACACAGCCCCCAGCCTGGGCATCACTCTCCAATTTCCTCTGTCACAGGGGAAAGTGAGATCTGGGATGGGAATACGATCTTTCTCCTTATCCCCAGACTTGGCTGATCACTAAAGAGTGAGACCAGTATCAGCACCAAGTTTGAAAAATATATTTTCCAATCTTAAGGATGTCTCATCAAAAAAAAGTCAGGATGGACAATTTAAAGCCATGCTGTCCAATACTGTAATCACTAATCACAAGTGCCCATTTAAATTAAATAAATTAAAGATTCAGTTCCTTGACTGCACTAGCCATGTTTCAAACGCTCAGTAGCACGTATAGCTAGTGGTTACTGCATCGGACAGCACAAATATAGACCGGATCCATCATCACAAAAAATTATATTGGGCAGCACCGTTCAAGGGCTAGGAACAGAACAGGGACAGACATTTTCTGCTCTTGTCTGAGATGAGCATGAGGGGCTAGAAGGATGGACTCCAGTCAGCTGAGTCTGGGAGTGGTGTATTCTTTTATTCTGCAAGGCGGCTGTAGTTTGGGCACAAGCAGGCTGGCTATTCTGAAGCCGTGAGGGTGAAAGTCAAGGTCTGGAGGGATGAATGAGGTGGGAAGAGGAGTCTCTGTGCTTGCCTGACTTCCTCTCACGTGGGGATTCTCTCCTTCTAGAACCTAACATATCCTGTGATGCTCTTCCTCCAAGATACAAGTTCAGGTTCAGGTAAGAAAGTTATGCACAAGATGCTTTCCTGGACAGGGTTTGGGGGTCGTAAGGTGCTTGAATTTGTCTGGCACTCGTCCAGTTGTCAAAAGCTGGATAGGAGGGCTTCCCTGGTGGCACAGTGGTTGAGAGTCCGCCTGCCAATGCAGGGGACACAGGTTCGTGCCCAGGTCCGGGAGGATCCCACATGCCGTGGAGCGGCTGGGCCCGTAAGCCATGGCCGCTGAGCCTGCGCGTCCGGAGCCTGTGCTCCGCAATGGGGGAGGCCACAGCAGTGAGAGGCCCACGTACCACAAAAAAAAAAAAAGCTGGATAGGAGATCAGGGTGGAGTGGAGGGTTAAAAGATCAGAGAGGGTCAGGAGCTAACCAACCAAAACCACTTATAACGACTACACCACCTACCTCTGAAGAGCTCACCTCACTTGCCTCCACGTCCTCGACTGCCTCACATCTTTGGAAAGGGAGTGGATTTCTGGAGCTGGGGCGAGCAGTCCCTTGGATGACATGGTCTCTGGACAAGGGAAAGGGGCAGGGCTACCAGCAAAACAAAGCCAGTGGAGTTGCCATTTACAGAAATCTGGGTATAGGAACATCTGGGTTTTGCTGGGCATTGTGCATGGTGTGGACGTGTCTAACAACCCTGTGTTGTTGGTCAGGCTGGTCATTTCCTTCAGCTCTTAAAAGTTACTTTAATTTTGTGTGGCGTATGTTATATGATCTTGCAAATATTCTTGGGTTGTTTCTTACTCTCCTCAGCAATTTCCATTTGATCTACACCTCTCACCAGGACTGATAACAGGCCGTGTACACAGTCATGTATGCAAAGTGACATACTATAAATATGTTCACGTGTATATTAACACACTATCCGTATGTAAAATAGTAAGCACTCAATAAATGGGAGCTTACCTAGATGTTACCCAATAGCAGTACTGCGTAAGCTTTTCCAGAGAATGTGTAAAATATATATCATGCCCTGTTCTGCTTCTTGTGTTCTTCTTGTGGTGTTTACTTAATAATGCATAATTCCATATTAATACATAATATAGCCCTCTTGAACTTTTGAAAATGGGTTCTTATTTATTTGTTTATTTGGGTGTTCATTTGCTTCTGTTTCCAAATCCAAAAGGTATAAAATGACATACTTTGAAAATCGCCCAGCCATCCTGGGCCAACTTGTTTTCTCTGAATCCTTCCACATATGTGCCACTAGAGGGAGCCCCACAAGAAAGTTTCTTCGTGTGAGAACTAATCTACCCTCCCTCCCTTTTTAACATAAATGGTAACAACAATTTATCTTGGAGACAATCTATATTAGTACCTAAAGAACATCCTTGTTATTTTACACAGCTACACAATATTTTATGGCATGAATGTATCATACTTATTTAACTAGTTTCCCAGGACATTTAGATTGTTTCAATTTTTAAAATATCCATTTTACTAGGTTAAATAAAAATGTATTCAATTAATTTACATCAATAAATATTTAACAGAAACGATATGTGTCAAGCTTTATATTAGGCTCTGATTGTAAAAGTTTCAGTAAGAGGAAGAAAAAAGCATTTTTTTTTGGCCGCCCTGTGCTGCAGCTTGTGGGATCTTAGCTTCCCGAACCCCGGCCCCCTGCAGTGGAAGCCCGGAAAGCCAGGGAATTCCCAAGAATGTTCTTGCTTTCTTTGTGGTTTCACTCTTGACCTGTCATGGTGGCTTTGTTTTTGTTTTTGCTATTTAATATCACATTCCTTCAGGCACTGGGATACTTAGGGGGGTGAATGCAGGCCTTCCCATGTGCCTGGGGTCCTGCCTCTCAACTTGGCAAGACAGGTATATATGTCTGACCCCACCTCTCCCCTGTGCCCAGGCTCCTGCTGGGAGAGGGCAGCACAGAGAGTGGCAATGGTTCCTGGGGGGAGTTGAAGGCAACTAAAAACCAGTCCTGGGGAGGCTGAGAAGTGAGATCAAGCTTGAACCTCGGCTCCAAGCCCTCAGCACATGTTCTATTACCCCATCAGACTTCACTTACAAAACACAAATTGAAAGAAAATTATTAAGAATTTCAAGATAGTGACACAGAGCATCATGGCCCAAACATAGTGTCCCTTCCTAAGCATGGGCCCTGTGTGACTGCCTGTCAAATGCCCATGAAGTTCACTGCCTTCTACACAGGTGAAGTTGTTGGCTCAAAGTGCATGTGCAATTGCAGTTTTAATAAATGTTGATAAATTACCCAGCACAAAGTTGTATACTTTGTACAGGTGGACACACTATACCTCTCAGCTTTCTCCTCTGTAAATGGGGGATACTGACATCCACCTCATTAGGGCTGTGAACAGAATTACATGAATGACCCATGGGAACTGTGAATGGTACACAGTAAACATTCTGTAAGTGCCGTTATTAGCTCTCACTTGCAGTGATTTTTCTTCTGGAACTCCCTCTAGTGGTATAAATCTCAGGAGGAGATTGATATTTTCTTTTCCACTTTTGTGGTCTTATTTTCATAGTATATGTGTGTTTAAACTGGTCTGCAAATTCCATGGAGACTCAGTGACCGATAGGCTGTAAAGTGTCTAATTTATATCTGTTTAGCCCAGTGTTTCATAGGTCTGCAGGAAAAATGAGAACACTGATCTGAATCAAGCTGATGCAGGTACCCAGCAAGTGAGTTCTTGTACCCAAAGGTTTACATTTTATCTATTAACATTTTCCCCCATTTTGGTGTCTTTTTTGTTATTATTCTGAAAATTTTTCATTTTTTCAAAAAGAAAAACATTCAGCTTGTTATGAATCAGGTGAGTCAAACACTTAAGCTTACTTACCCGCGCCCCCCAGTAAATGGGAATGAATTTGTGCTGATTTTGAGCAAAATGTTATGAGTTGTCCTATGGAAGAGGCATTAAACTGTTCTGCAGGTCTTCGTGGGGTAAAACAATTAGGTGCAAGTCCTCGAACGTAGATTTCAGTTCAATACAAAGGAGAATCTTCTCTCCATCAGAATCGTCCAGCCCTGGCAGAGACTGAGGGAGCGAGCTTCCCATCCCTGGACATCCAGCCAACATAGAATGGGAAGTTAGGCTAGGTAACTCTAAGGTTTTTCCCTAGCTATAAGACCCTACGAGAATATACATTTTCCTTTCTCGTCTTTTTTTCCCGCTCCTGCCGCCTCCTTACAATCTCCCCAACGCCTTCACTCTCCACCAACATTCCCTAAGGATCTTGCAGGGGAAGGCCCAGGAGGAGCTCCCAGTCTGCCTCGCAACAGCTGACGTACTCAACTTCCCGCCGATAATTGGTTGCCAGGAGCCCTTGGGGGCGGAGAATAAGGCGGTGACTACACATATTCCGGCAAAAGCGAGGCGCCTGCGGACCGTGCAGTGACATCCAGTTCCAAAGGGCAAACCTTTTCTTGCCCTGTCACTTCAGACCCACCGCCCTTGGTTACCTGCCTTCCTCCCCTGTCCGCTTCGTTCCTCTGCTTTTGTCCATCCTGGATTATGGAAGCCTAAAATGTT